GGACAATCACAATCTCCAGGAGCGCCACCAAAGACCAGATTATAGCTGCATGTCTTCGAGCATTCCATATACACGACGATCCCCGCCATTACATTATCACCGATGCTTACGGTTTGTCATACTTTCTTATATCATATCTAATCGTACGATCGCTACACTTGTGGTCGCTTTTGACCTCAACTTAGATTTTGAAAATAAGTATTTGTGAAAAACATTGTTTTCTACAACAGATTATATACAATATTCTAGATACTATTTAAATGAAATGTAATGTGTTTAAAATGATGTTTTGTTTGTGCATTCATTCATTCAGATACCAATGAGAAAGAGCTCTGCGAATTCATGCCCGTCCAGAGTCTCATTAGGGTCGAAGGCAAACGATGCGGACTGTTCTTCAGGTACTGTATCTCATCACAAATATGCCTCTTATTTGTATATAATTCAGTCATAATATGAGGGTTTTTGGATAACTAATTATACAAAAGTGTGGATAACACGATTGAATTAGGAATAAATGTCAGCAAATATCTTAGTATTGTATTTTATAAGAAGTAGTTTCTAAGTTATTTTATAATCGTCAGATTTCTAAAATAAATATTAACTTTTATATGCAACAGTAATATTCTACTTTTTAGGCTTTACGTATTTTCAATAATAGCGTGATATTTAAATTAATTTTTTAATTTTTAATATAAAAAAATCTCTAAGAATCCATACAGCTCCATTTTCACTGCTGTAGGCGATCTTATTCTCAGATACTTTTATAAGTATTCGTAATATATATATAATATTATAACAAATTAATATTTTAAGATTTATAAAAACTAATTATTGATATTTTGTATAAAATCAATAAAACAGGTATAGACCGCCCAATCCAGATGAAGGTTCCGTAAAAGTGTATCCGGGAAAGTTAAAGTAAATCTATAGAAAACTGTTGCTGTCTAACCTATATTTATAATAAATTAATTTGTTACCTAATAGCGTGACCGACACCTATAGAGTCATTCCCGTGACTCTGGACACCAGTGTCGAGGACGTGATGATCGCCGCATTGGATCAGTTCGGCTTAGATTCGGGTGATTTGAATCGATATCGTTTGGTTGAAGTGTCGTTAGACAAAGGATGTGAGCAATCGTTCAATTAATAATCTATTTCTAATTTCATATATATTGTATTTATATATAAGTTATATAATATAACTGTATATTTGGGTTAATAGCTGTTCACGAGAGAACTATGGATAACACAGAGAGTCCCTGGGCTATTATCAAAAGTTTAGCACGGGTATGCACATTGATAGTTTATATTAATTACAAAACAAGCGACTATTTTATTGAAAAATTTAATGATAAAATGTATTTTGTATGACAATTGTCTGGACGTAGGACTCAATCCGCCAGAAAGACAACACCCGGTTCTACCTGCAACAGGTGGATGAGGTCTACTGTTCCAATGTCGCCATTTTTGTGGGCAATTTACCACCGAATCTGTCTCAACGACAATACGAAAGAATTTTAGTTGAATTACTAGGAAAACGTAAGTGTTTTACGGGTAAATTCACGCCACGCTTCCGGTATAATAGGGTTTGACTAGTAACGAGCTTTCCGTTTGTATAGCATATAAATATCGACAAATCGGTCCAATATATTACGAATACGGATCACTGATAGTGACCTACGATAACGCAGACATTGCCGTCAAAGCCTATTATATGCTGCGAGAGTCGAGTTACGACGA